CTTGGCGCGTGATTGGGAAGCCGCGGGTCCGGAATGCCAGCGTTGTCAGGCTGCGCTAATGCCATAATGACAGTAAATCAGAAATAGCGTGGCACTTATCCCCAGAGTAATTATGTAATCTGCTTAGCAAATCACGTAATTACTTTATAGAGGAGTGCCACAGATTTTTCTGAAACTAGCTAAATCGGTGTGCTTTTTTTTGAGCTGTTTAGTGTAATACTGATGAGGTGGCAAAGTGTAACGCTGGGCTGTTATACTCATTTTGCACTTGGGTTCTTGCAGGAAGGAATGCAAGTTTGTTCACAACATCCACTCGGCCCACAATCTCAGTGTTCTAAAACAATATGGACTTGAGAATCTAAATGATGGTGAACTTCGCCAGCTTCTGCTTCAGAATGACCCTTCCCTCTTACCAGAGGTGAGCATTACTGTGACAGTTTCTCAGTGTTATGTTTCACGAAGTGGAAGAGGCTTGAGACTAGCTAGGGATGTGAGGTGTCAGTTTAGTCAGTGTGATGCGAAACTAAAACTTTAAATCTGCATCCTCTGTTCTCGTTTGTAGTGGGTTCATTCTATTTTGTAGTGGGTTCACCCTAGGTGGCAGCTAAGTGCTCGTGCAGCCCCTCCCTCACTCCTCTCTCACCTCCTCCAAGCAGGGCAGATGAGAGAAAACGAGCAAAAGGGACAAAGCTTGCAGGTGAAATTGAAGACAGTTTAGCCAGTGCAGAAAAGAGGGAAGGAAACAAGTGTCGCAAAGGAAGTGAGTCGCCGCCTTCCACAAGCAGACCAATTCCCAGCAAGTCTCTGAGCAAAGGCCACCCATTAAGAAGGACCCACCTTCATCCCCCTCCTGCCACCCTTTGGTTTTTTGAGTGTTGTTTGGGTTTTTTTAATGTATTTGTTTTAAGGCATGGAATATCCCTTTGAACAGTTTGAGCTAGCTGTCCCAGCTGTGTCCTCCCTCAGCTTCTTGTCCACCTCTGTTTGTTCAGTGGAAGAGGAGGGGCAGAGTGGAAAAAGAAAAAAAGAGAAAGCCTCTATCTACACTGTGCAGGCACTGCTCAGCAGTAGCTGAGACATTGGTGTGTTATCAACACCCTTCTGGTCACAAATCCAAAGCATAGCATGGTATGGTCTGCTATGAAGAAAGTTAACTCCGTCCCAGCCAGATCCGGTACCTCTTACCATCATATTCAGGTTAAAAAAGTTCAATATCTAAAACTATATGTCACTATCTGAACTCTTTGTTTTTTATTTAAATCCATTGTCATACATTTGTGTGACTTAGAACAAAATTCCATCTATTTGAGAATGTGTAAGATGGTTGATGTCTGTTAAAAGATCTTTCTAGACCTTAGCAGGGAAAAGGAAAAACTTATCAAGTAATCATGTGGAAAATGAGAAGAAAGAAGAAACTTGTATAAGTCTTTTAAATGCAAATGTGAACACATAGCGGTAAAAATTTTAAAATCGTGAATTCAAACAGTCTAAATGAGCACATTGTAATTTAATTTTTTTTTTTCCCCCCCTCTACCCAAGGTCTGTTTGCATTATAACAAAGGGGATGGACCTTACGGATCTTGTACCTTTAAAAAGATCTGCACCAGACTGCACATTTGCCAGTACTTTTTGCGGGGACAGTGCAGATTTGGCAGCAGCTGCAAGCGATCCCACGACTTATTAAAGTCAGAATGTTATGAGAAACTGGAGAGACAGGGAATGAGCTCGGACGTTATTGAGAAACTACCCTCTACTTATAGAAATATGTATGACATAAAAAATGGCAACAGGAACATGAATAACTTAGAAGATGTCAAGTCTTCACAGTGCAAAGGTAAATGCTGCCATATTTTGAAAACATCAGAAGAGTCGCTCTAGTGAGTGTAACATTCTCACGGATGTCACTAAGAAAAGGAAAACTGAACTTGCATCTTGGTGTGTCTTTTAGCTGGGACCTTGCACGTCTCTCATTGACAGAGATTTGTGTCTTGACCAGTGAAGTGGATTTCAAGGCATTACAGATTCCTGAGAAATAAAGCTCTTTGTGTTTATAAAAATCTTGAATTTGGGGAGAGAAAAGCATAGCAGGAGCTGGAAATAGGGAGATCTAAGTTTCTTTTTTTTTTTTTTCCCTTGGTAGAAAACGTAAACAAGGGTGGAAAACTGTTTAAGAATGGGGTGATGTTTACTTGTGTAATTATAAACTACTTTATCCATTTTTTTCTTTAATGTAGCGATTGTCTGGCACAAGAGTTTAGGTAGCACTGTCATACTTCTCAGAGATGTAATATTTTGTTCTTTTGAACTTCATTAGACTGTAAGTTAAGAATAATTTAGCAGGAAAAAAAGAGGATAAAAGAATGAAAAATCCAAGTGTTTATGCTCAGCTTTGCTATTTTCCCTGCAATTCCTTCTTCTTTGTTTTCTCATGTGTGCTTTAATTTACAAAAAATATGAAATTTTGAGACTGCAGGCTTTATAACTGCCAATGTGAACAGCTATGTGGAATGCACAGTGAACTCAAGTCCATCTAGAAATGTAAAGGCATTGAATTCTGTTCTTATTTTGAGGCAATAGCTAAAACCTGTATCTGAGGAATTTAGCAGTTGCAGGAAAGTCAATTTCAGAAAGAGTGGATAAAGGGGATAGGACTTTTGAGGATACAAGGTTACCAAAGACTTCAGTGTCTTTCTGGAGCTGAATGCAGTTATATAGGTATAAACACTGTTTTTAAGCATCTTCCCTACCAGTAGGTGCACTTTTAAGAGGGCTTGTTGAAACAACATGTATTAATGAGGCTTATAATCCCTCCTTCTAGTGCGAAACCACAGCTCCAGCCAAGAGCCCTCAACTAAAAATGATGATGAATTGGAACAGATCTGTTTATATCATCTGTACAAAAGCTGTGGCTTTGAAGGTAGGTTGTGACTTTAGTAAGTCCCATCTGTTTTCGTTTCCTCTTGAAATAATAGACATCTTTCACAGAAAGGGGAGACTTCAGAGCTTATTCTTATCTTTAGTTAAATCTCATTGTAGTCTTGCTTGCTGTTAGTAAAGTGTTTGAGCTACCTGGTATGACAAATAAAGGAACTGTTCTGAGGTGTACAATATCTGCCTATGTCGGAGACTGCCTATTCCACCTGTATTGTGTGTTGGGTTTTACAATTCAGTAATACCACTTTTGGGCTAAGTGGTTAAGCATAGGTATTTGAGTCTACTTACGCTATTATTCTATATATGAGATAATGGCCTTGTAGGAGCTTGTGATCTTGATTCTTTGTAAATTTTTGTCTCTGAAACTGAGAAGACAGAATGATTCTTCACTTCTGAGCTCCTACTAGCAATTGTGATGTACAAAGAGAGTCTAGTAGGTACAGAAACTGAACTTCTGCCTAAACTTAAAAAATAAGTTTTGATTGCTCACACTGAAAAATTCTGAACTGTTGCTTATAATGATTCCGTAGGTGAACTCTTCCCATAGCTAGGCTTTGATACGTTTATCAATTAGGTGTTGTAGAACTCTGAAATGTTTGAAGTTTTTCTCATAGCCTGTAAAAATAATGCATATCCTTTTTTTTTTTTTAACTTTTGTAGACAAGTGTACCAGAATTCATTTCCACTTGCCATATAGATGGCAAATCTCTGATGGTAATATCTGGAAGGACTTGGAGAATATGGAAGAAATAGAAAAAGCATATTGTGACCCAAATAATGCCAGGTATAAACTCTTATAAAATATAATAATGTTTGAATTTTGCGGTATTGGACCAGGAGACCCTTAGTGGCTATAAACTGCTATGATTCTATCACAGTCATTACGTAAGTAGTCTCATTCAGTGGTTTTCTGTTGACCTCATTTTGCTGATCTACAGTTGCTGGACATCTGACCTGTTGTGACTTACTTATGCCTGGAGCCCATATAGGACCCTCTGAGTTACCACACCGGGTCTGGCTGGGATGGAGTTAACTTTCTTCACAGCAGCCCGTATGTCACTGCGCTCTGGAGTTGTGGCTAAAACAATGTTGATAACGCACCAGAGTTTTCGATGTCACTGAGCGGCGCGTGCCCAGAGTCAAGGATTTCTCTTCTTTTCTCCATTCTGCCCTGCTCCTCTGCAATGGGTAGGGTGCGGTTAGGCGAGGGGTTGGAAGAAGATCAGGCTGGGCAACTGACCCGAACTGAGCAGAAGGGATGTCCGATACCATATAATGTCATCTTGACAAGAGGAAGAAAAGGGTTGGGGTTACCAAGGTGGCTGCTGTGTGGAGGTTGGCTGGGCATTAAACTGCTTGGGGAGGTGTTGAGTGACGTGCTTTGCTTTGTTGATTTATTTGTTTATTTAGTTGTGCACATCCCCTTCTTCACCTATTGAACTGCCTTTATGTTTACCCACTGCCTTTACACTGACACACAACTTTTCTTGCTTTTGTGCTTCTCATTTTCTCTTTCTGGTGCAGCAGAGCGGTGGAGTGAACTCGCTTGCTGACTAGAGTCAATCCACCACAGTTATCTGGTGTGACTGATCCATTGTCCTGGTTTTGGCTAGGATAGATCAGATTTTTCTTCTTATTGGCTAGAATAATGCTGTGGTTTGGATTCAGTATGAGAATTGGTATCAGAAGAATATTGATAATATGCTGGTGTTTTCAGTCATTGCTAGGAAATGAAAGACCTTTCAACTTCCCGTGTCTTTCCAGTGAGCAGGTGCACAAGAAGCTGGGGATGAGCATTGCCAGAGCAACAGACTCAAATTGGCCAATGGAATGTTCAAAATATCGTACAATATCATGCTCAGTATATAGATGAGGGTGGGCTGGGAAGCTGAGGCTCTTCCAGGATTGCAATTTCAGGATTTTGTTTCCTCCAGAATCGCTAGCCAGGAATGGGGTGAGCATTGATCAGTGGGTAGCGAGCAGTGGGTACATCATTCACTTGTATATTCTATTACTACTATCATAATTATTATTACTATTTTATTTCTATTTTGTTTTAATTATTGTTTTTATCTTAATTTACGAATGTCTCTACCCTTCCAATTTTCTCCCCCACCTTCACGGTGGGGAAGAGTGGATGATCAGCTGTGTGGTGTTTGACTGCCAGCTGTGTTTAGACCACCGCACCCATAAACCCTGGTATTCTTTGCTGTGAAAAAATGTATAACTACTCCTTATTGCTGCTACCAACAGAAGTCTAAGCCACACTAAGAATGGTTGGAAAACTGCAGAGGATGGTGATTTTATAACAAGTGCTTATGGGAATCCGTCTTTGATTAGAGCTTGTTGATACACAGCTTGACCCCATGATTAGAAATAACCTTCTGTTTTACCTTTTCAGCTGGAAGATGGAAAGGTAGTGTGAGATTTGCTCCTCCTGCTCTCTTTTTCCCCAGTCCGTATTGTGGAACCGATAGAATACTTTGTGTGCCTGGAGAGAGATACTCCTGGGTGCAGAGAACATTAACAGTATGGAAATACCTTTTAGAGTTTGGAGCTTGTTATGTAGCATGAAGAGAGTATTGGAAGGGGCTCATACCAGTATGCTCTGTCCCATGCTGGAGAATTTACCTAGACCTCTTACATTACATTAGAGAGGCTCTTTGAAACCATGCTTAAGTTACAACAGTATTCTGTTTATAGTGTAGTTGGCAAGAACAAGGCAGTGTACATTTTCCACTGTTTGGGGTTTTTTTTCATCTTGTGTAACTCACTAATTTATGAGTTGATAATGGTTACTGCACATGGAACCAATGCAAGACATAATACTGTAATGCAAAATATGTACAAACACAAGACAGAGCTGAGATTGTTGTGGAAGATGTGAGTTTTTGTTCTGCTTTTAGGTGATGTTGGCTTAATTTGCAAATGTGTGGTGATCTTCTGAACCTATGTGTAAATGTTCACAAAGTTTTGATTTTTTTTTTTCCTTTTTTTTTTTTAATAATAGGTTCAATAAGGACGTTACTGGAAGTGGCTCTGTGCTGTCATGTATTTGCTTCCTTAAAATGCGCTGTGGGCTTGCAAAGGTTAGACGTCTTTCTACAGCCTCCTCTGTGACCAAACCCCCTCACTTCATTTTTACAACAGAATGGATCTGGTACTGGAAAAATGAGTATGGCGTGTGGCAGGAGTATGGAAAAAAAGTAAGTGTGGAGAAATGAAGAGACTCAGCTCTCTTAAAATTGCAGAATGACTGCAAAGTGCAGAGTGATTATACCCTCCCCCTCCTTCATCACCCTCTCCCTCCCTCTCACTCCTACTGTACAGATGGACTTTAGAGGTCTAATGAGATCGTTTCCCTGTGAGTTTGATTGGTTCAGGTAGGGGAGTGCTTGCTGGTGAGTCAGAAATAGAATCATGTTACTGAGAAAGAATTCTTCAGTGAGTCATGTCAGATAGGGTCACACTAACACATCCTTTTCATTGTTCCTGACTGAAACTTTCTTTACTGAGGTTCCGGTTGTACTTTGTGGGTCTTTGCTAAGGTCTGGCTGGCGAATGTGCTTTTCATGCATGTACTTTTGAGATGTAAATTTAGACTTCATAACACTGCTTGGTTTGGTTTAGAGTCAATTTCAACTGCTTAATAAATAGCTTTTGCCTGATAACTTCTATTGTGCCCCAAAGCTGATACATACTATGGTAACTACCATATGACATTTGTTGGTTTTTAAACTTGCTTGTATATAATAGACCAGGAGAATCTTTTTTCTTTCTTCTGGTTTTGGCCTGACAGGATGATGATCATGAAGCTGCCACTGTCTCCAGTGAAGACCTGGAGAAAGCTTATATAGCCAAAGTTTCTCCAAAGCTGAACTTCAGAGCTGGGAGACATGAATATGAACTCAATTTTGGAGGTAGGTTCTATTTGGTTTAGGTTTGTTGTGTTGTTTTTTTTTTTGTTTTTTCCCTGCCTCCCTCCTAGCTCTTTTGTAGTTTTAAACTACATTAGCAGAGGAGATAGGAGAGAGAAACTTGAACTTTGAATTGCAGTGCTTACAGAGACAGCTTCTGTCAAAGTTCTCAGGATAAGAGCTGTTCACATAAGCAAAGTGGCATTTATATTCCTCCAAATCTATTTCGAGAAGTTCTTGTGCTAGTTTTCAGAATGTCTGCCACCAAGTCCAAGTATGACATTGCCATTGATGCTAGCACCAAAACGAATAGTGAGAAACTTCTGAAAGACCTAGCAAGCCAGCTTCTGGTCTACTTTAATCACTGGCATAAAAAAAAAAAATACTTGAGGTAAAGTTAAGAGCAAAACTGAAACAGAAATCCTCTATGATGTATACAAATAAACCATGAGTTCCCCATCCTGCTCTGACTTCCCTTTGTGTAGCAAGAAAAAAAGTTCCCTGCCTTTTTGCTAACATTTTTGACAAAAACAGCTTAGTGGCAAGTTTTGCTGCAGCATGAAGGCCGTCTAGAACATTTTTCTGATTGTTCGGGGTTTTATTTTTATTTTTTTTCCCTAGCTATGGTTCAGAAAAACCTTCGCTACACAACAGAGAGAGAGGTTTGCAGAAGACCTAAGTTTGTTTCTCAGACAGAGGTGGAAAAGATAAGAAAAAGGTAAACTACAACTACTCATTCTGAGGTGATGCATCTAGTGCGTTGTGAGTGTATCATCTTCCAAGGGTTTGAATAAGGTGAAGGAATAGCTTTTAAGGCAATTGTAAAAGAAATTGAGAGGGGACGGGACAAACCTTTCCTAGAACAATGTCTAGCCAGGGCACTCTATTGCAGCTTGGCCAACAGTTTTCAAGCAGCTTGGGAGCCTTGGGAGTGAAGGAAATTTGGGCTTGGTCACAGAAAGTGTGGAAGCATAGAAAATACTTCAGCAAGTAGCAAATGTTACGAGGAGCTGACAGTTAGAGGGAGCTGTCTAATTAGAGCAGGTTATGCTGCTGAAAGCAATAATATTTATGCATACTAGCCCTTTCTGACATCTGAGATCAGTAATTTTCAAAGTTAAGTACAAGTTTAGAAGCAATTCTTTAGAGAACAACCAGAGAGTCTGAAGGGAAAGTAGTAGTTGTTACAGGTGGAGCAAAAGTTGGGAGTCTACAGGGGGAAGAATTTTTGTACAAATTGCATGTAACAATCAACTTTTTACACATTCCCTTGCAGCATGCAGTGCTTGCTTAAGCAACACGAAAAAAGAGCAGCTAAACACACTAATTAAAATAGAGGTGTGAGTAGAGAGAAGGGCTATATCTATCTTGTTTCTGTCATTCTGATATGACACTGGATGCGTTTTTATTTATCCACCCCAGTGTAGCAAAGCTGTGTGTATACATTCAGCTCTCCACAACTAAGAGAACTGCTTTCATGTTTAGTTTAGCGTATATCTTTTTTCTTTTTTTTTTTTTTTTTTCTTTTTTGGCATCTTGCTTCCTGCCATAAGTCTTGACATGATGGTTTGGAACAAATATTTTCATGCACTGAACTGAAAAGACAACTTTGAAATATTTCTGGATATGTTCGGTTGCCTATATACTCCCTAAACTTGGCAAAAATGTTTAGTATCAGATGTACACAAAATGCAGGGATTTGTTTTAACTACCTACATGTAATGTCTTGTAACTTACAGGGGTATTAAAAATACTGAAAAACTTAAGGGCATTCCAGCTCACTGGGACAAATCTGCCCTGCCTGAACTGGGATTCAAGGTTTGGAGCTTTTTGTATTTTTATCTCACCACAGTTTTGTTGCATACACAACAATTGTTACTTCACAATTTCAGTGTTTCTCATGCCTTTGTAGATGACTCTTTCTTGCGTAATATAATGCAGAGTTGTTGGTAAATTTGAGCTTGACGTCATACAGGGCAGACCTAGAGGTAAAACTGGACCCAGATTTAAACTAACAAGTGGTGGTGTGGTATAACCATGGCAACATTGACTTTCACTACTACTGTTTATCCCTTTGCTTGGCAGATTTGCCTGAAGCTTAGACTGTATTAGCAAGACTGTTACTGGTGCCCACAGAACATGGCTTGGAAGTCCAACCTGTACTGAAGCATCAGAGATAAATCATGCTTCTAAATTTCAGAGTAGCTGTTCCCTGAGCTATGTTTCAGTAGACTGTTTTATCTATGGAACATTACTGAAATCGACATAGTTCCGGCTGGGATTGCTTGTTAAAATGTACCGTAAGTCTGGTGGAGTGAACATGTTTACCTTTGTAACACACCCAGTTGATTAATATCTGCAGGGGTTACCTTTGCTAACTTCCTCCTTGCCTCTGCCACCTGTAGTAACTCTAGTAACTCTCTGTTAACACTAGTAACTGTACCTACAGAAAAGATCTTCTTATATGAACCTGAAAATTACTAACCGGCAAAACGCAAATCCTCAAGAAATTGTCAGTAAAAAATAGGGAAGGCTAATGCTGACATTCTCGATGTTTCTAGGGAAAACACACAAGTAGAAAACTGCACTTGCTTTCAGGACTGTCATGTAAGGAGCTGATTTTTGGCAGTGTGTCCCTACTCTTCCCTAAAACAGTCAGTTAAGTTAAAACCTTTTCTATTTAGTTAAAAACGTAGCAGGCAGTGCAGTTTGTGTTCACTGGCTGCGAGGGAGCATAAACTATAATGATTTAAAACGCATGGATATAGAGGTACTCTTTGATTTGCTGCAACATAAATTCTGTGTACGTTTTTATTTATATGTTCATTTATTCTATGTATTTAGGTACTGTTTGATATATGCATGCAAATGTCTCTTGGCCCAAGTATTAAAAGGGGCTGCACAAAAGCATGCGGCTCTTTAATGTCCTGTGAAGGAGCAACCTGGGTGACTTAAACCCCAGGAATAAATGTTCTGTAGGTAAGAGCTCACTGTTACAGAGCAAAGATCTCTAATCTGCCTTTTTTTCCAAGAGTGTTTTTGCTGCTCATACCTCAGCTTCACAGAAAAGACTTTAAAGGTTTAAATAGTGCACTAGGAGGGGTGGCTTGGTTACAGTTTACTAAAAGATGAGAGTATTTCTTTATCTTTTCCTTACAGCTGATTCAGCTTGACGGCTCTTCTGAAGAGTACATGAAAGTCAAGGCGGACTTTCAACGCACAATGCCCAGAACAGTTATTAAAAGGATTTCTAGAGTTCAGAACCCATCTCTCTGGGAACTATACCAGTGGTATGTATGAAATACTGCTCTGGTGTGCATGCATGAGGTTATTGTTTCTGCAGTTAGCTGTATGCTGAAGATAGACATACACATTCTTGAAATGCAGCTGCATTTAAGAATCTGCTTCCACTCCCTCACCGAAATACCTAGCCAGGATCAACATATAGATAAGGAGGTACTGACAAAACCTAAACTCAGTCAAGATATAGAGCTCAGAATAGTCAGATCAACTCCATGGGAGGAATCTTTGCCCCTGAGTTAGAAAAAAAAAAAAATTTAGTCCTCCTTTCCCAACAGGCAGTAAGTGAAGTAAAATGTTTTTATTATTAAATATCTGGAGGCATATGTATATCACCAAAGCACATTTGTATGTAGCTAGACAGCTACATACAGCTAGATGCCCTGTATGCCCAAACTTTAGGTTTTAACATAAGGATTTTCAGAATGTATTCTTTGTGTAAAAATTGTTTCTTGAGTGCCAGTGTGGCTGGAACCTGTCTGGGTACTGCTGCTGTGGAACTTCAAAGATCAGATCCTGTTTCTTATTGCAGGCAGAAGGAACAAATGCAGAAGAGCAATGGTGGAAAAGCCGCGGATGAGCGATTTTTATTTCATGGAACCAGTAGAAAATACATTGATGCCATCTGTCAGCAAAACTTTGACTGGAGGATCTGTGGCCTTCATGGGACAGTGTATGGCAGAGGTAATTTTTCAGCACTTTCATTAGCCCTAGATGTGCTAAAAAATTCTTGGTAGTTACTGCAGAGGTGTACAGTTGGCAAGAGGGCACTCAGCCAATCTAGGGCTTAGCTCTGTGACGAGGTGGACACCATAGCTGACTTTGGCAGTGGTCATGTGGAGCTAAGGCATGCTGAAATGCCTTGGCCTCTGCTACGTTCTGTCCTGGCAAGGAAAGACAAGCTTAGGAGATTCTGGACTCTAGGGACAGCTTTTCCTAGAGTCCAGGCTTACTTCTGTTCCAATTTCTTCAAGTTCCTACAAGAAGACAATGTAGCGTTATGGCTTGGGGGTGTGGTTTTGGGTTTTTTTGGGGAGGGAGAGGGGGTTAATTTTATTCTAGGGATGTAAATGCCATCCCATCCTGGTTACAGACTTTTTTATTTTTATTTATATTGTTAGCAAATTATATTCCTTTACATTGTCCTGTGTACAGGAAGGGATCAACTTTCAAAGTGGAATAGCCAAGAGACAGACTGACTGACTGACTACCCACACCCCACCCATCTAATTGAATACTTTATAACTCGCATAAGTGTTCTAATGAATATGAGTAGCCTTTGTCAGGAGAGGAAGTTGGGTGGGATTGGAGAAAGTGGACATCTAGAGTCGGGAGTAAATCTTTTTGAGGAATATGGTAATATCTAAAATGTTACTTGGGTGGCTTTTAATGCATGCTGTGAAAAGTAAATGTGAAAGTAATGCATAATGGTTATTTTCTCTAAGAGACATGCAGGACGAGTGAAGTCTTTGGAAAGGCCATTAATGAACGGCTTAATAGATTTGCTTATGAATTCACTTTCACGCTGTATCGCTTCCTTCCCTGCAACTTTGGTGTCTTACAAACTCTGTCTTGGTGTCTCTCCTGCAGGAAGCTATTTTGCAAGGGATGCATCTTATTCTGACAACTACTGCGTGGAAGATGCATGCACCAAGACCATGTTTCTGGCACGGGTGCTGGTGGGGGAGTTCACTCTTGGTAGTTCTTCTTATGTTCGGCCTCCCTTGAAGGACAACCAAAACTTCTATGACAGTTGTGTGAATAACTCTTCAAACCCTTCTATCTTTGTCATCTTTGAGAAGCAGCAGATCTATCCAGAGTATCTCATAGAATACATTAACCAGGCATTGACAAGAATGCTATAGTAACAAAATCTCTCATCGTTATGTTTAGCTGGTATAAACTTTTTTTTTTGGCTTAGGAGAGGATAAAGTGATTTTTAGAACGTGTGTAATAGGGTAGGTGAGTGTTCAGAAATATTTTTTCTCTATCCTTTCTGTGCAATAGAAAATGAGGGGTAAAAAGACAAAGGATATCTTAGAATTCTAAAGAACAGGAGACACAGGACTTTAAGCAGATATCATGTTTCCCTGTGTTACTGGAGACTTAGAAAATTATTAGATTTATTCAGTGATGCTTTTAACATGAGGATTAGCTATGGCTGCTAAGTTTAAACAATATTTAGTTATAATTGCTTAAGGACAGATTTTTTTACATGTGCTCATTGGCCAGATGCACTCTACTTGTTTATGTTTTATCTCAAAATTTGATTGAAAACCTACTTTTTTTTAATAATCTGTCTCCTGTAACAGCAGACATCGAAGTGTTTGCAAATGAGCCTGTACAATCTGTCTCTGTGCTCAACTCATTGCATAAATTCTTAGCAGCACTGGGGGTTTTTTTGTCCCTACTTAATCTTCATCAACAAAGCTGCAAAAATTAAACTTCCTTGTTGAAAAGACTCCTTTTCATTCATTCATTCTCTCATTTAAAACAAATACCAAAGACATGAAGCACAGCAAGGGTTGCTTTGTGCTGTGCTACTCAGTTGCCTTACTCTGTCAAAGAACTTCTGCATTTTAGGGCTGTGAGAACCCAAGTTTTTTGTGACTTCCGGCGTGCCTACAAATGAGAGAGTGCTGGCAAGTGCCAGGGGGAAGAAGGGGAGGCAACTGACCCTGTCATTTTGGAGTACTGTACTTAGGAGTGAGTCATGCTGCTTGCACTCCTTGTTTAGCAATATGCTGTTGCTGAAGGGGAGCTTTCTGTTTTTCTTACAGCTGTTGGGAAGGCCAGTGAGTAACGAACTCTCACTGAGTGTGCTGCCCCTTTGGTTGCAGAATTACACTGGTTACCTGTGTAATCAGGATGCCTTTGGACTTTGTTGCAGGAAAAAGTGCTTACCTGAGGAGTGGTCTTCAGCCAGAGTGTTGAAACCTTTAAAAATCTCAAGTTTAAGCTGAATACTTCATTGTTTCCAGCAAAAGATATTTCTAGTGTTGGGCAGTCAGCATACATGTATGCAGATAATAATAAAATAAACCAACTTTGAACTGTCAAATATTTCTTAAAGTTGCTGATGCATAGACTTTATAACAGCATTAATGGTCCTTGTTAGCTGTAGTGTACTGCAAAAGCCTCAAGATATACTTCATATAGGACTGCAAAAAGGTAATTTCTACCTCTATTCTACAAGCATTTATTTTCTGTCCATCTGGATGATGATTGACAGGTATACACTGGGTAACGCTTTATTACTTCAGCGTGTGAACCAGGATCTTTGCTCTGATTAGCTGGAGTAAGGCTGTGCAGAACTTTTTTTTACATGATAAGGCTATGCAGAAATCTTTTTTGTATGAACTGTAAGACTAGCTGCTTGTTATTGAAAATATGCCCATTTGTGTTTAAACAGCAAAACACAGGGTGTGGAAAAGCAAGTTGACTCAATTCTGTTTTTTGAAACATTTGTAATGGAACATATATGATTAAATCTCATGTCAGCAAATGAGCTTGTCATTTGTTGAGGAAGATGACATTATGTATGAAAGCTTTGCTATCGGCAGAATAAGATTTTTCTGCCATGTTCATCTGCATGTTCATGGCAAATGAAAATAGTGGTTGTATGCCTTCATGTGTCTATAACCAGCATTCCAGCTAAAGTCATTGAAGCTTTTAATACAAAAGTTGAGCTATTTTTTAAATATTTTTGATGGCTAGTAATAGTTTTGAAACCTGTATTTCTTGGAGAGGATGTGGAAGTAAAGTAACTGGATTAAAAATGCTGGCTGTGTTACTTTGTGTTAGTAGAGAAATAACACGACATCAAAAAAGAAAAGTTACCATGTTTTTCACTTCTGAAACTGCAGTGGTTACTTTCTTCTATGTAGTAAATAAACAGGTATTCAAACCACTATATTCCTTGTAATGGTTTGTTTGTAGTGAAACATGATGCTTTTAGTACATTTCCAAGTTCTTGGAAACTTTCTTAAAGGTGCTGTTGTGAAGTAGTGGAGTCCCTCTACAGCTGTTTGGATTGCACTTGGAAATGAACAGACTAGACTCATTTGCATTAAATCTTAACTTCGGTCAAAAATTAGTAGTGAACCTTTTTTTTTTCCCTGACTGAGAAGGATATCTCTTGGCTACTTAAGACAAGAAACTGAGCAGGAACAGTGTAATAATCACTCACTCCTACACCGTGTGAGGAGAAGGATAAGCTGTGAAGGTTGTTTCCTTTTCTGATAACAAGCCCACCCTGGCAAGACAGATGGAAAGCCAGCAGAAGCCAAGCAACTTTGCCGTGCCAGTAGCACAGTTTGGAGCATGGTAGTTTATGATCCCCCCCCCAACTCTGCCCCTGCTGGGCTGGGTGGGGGTTCTGGTAGCCAGCCAAGGTCAACCCATTAGAAGAGTTGTACCACAATCAAGTTTTTCACAATATTCTGCCTAGGTTGTAAAAGATGTGGGTGTCAAAATCCTGTCTCTTAAGTGGCATTGCCAAAGGAGAGGCAAGTGTACTGCCTACCTCATGTACCTGCGGCCTGGCCAAGGAGGAGTGGTGTATGGCACATAGCAGCTATTGTAGTGTTGTGCTCAGGGCTGCCTGTCTTACAGAAGACTTGCACTTTGCTTCTCAGAAACCATTGCTCAGCAAAAAAATCCAGGAGGGATGGGTGCTACATGACCAGTTATTGGTGCTTACCTGTTCCAGCAGAGGATGGGCTTCATGGGCATGAAGAGCTCCCTTGCACTTCTTGGTTTGGGCCCAGTCATGAATTCATCTCTACTTGCAAAAAAATCCTAGCAACTGAGGGAATCCTGCTCCCTCCTTGAAAGTAGCCACCCTGCAGTGCAGGGATCGGACATCTTGGACACCAATCAGAATTTTCACAGCCAGAAGAATGAGAGTAGGGCGATTGCGAATGGAACAACGAAATAAACAAGTCAGCTTTAAATTCTTAAGTGTGTTTACTACTGTAAGTGCACAGAAGAGTCTGATACTGGATGAAGCTGTGTCCAGGATGGAAACATCATTTAACAATGAGAAATTGATCATTTCAGAAAGTATCACACACAGAAAATTCTGCAGTTTAATGCTAGGTAAGAATAGATAGTTGAAACTTGCAGTCAGTGAAGCATAATAATTTCTAATGCCCAGCTCTGTTTTTCCAGTACTACTATTTATATAAAAAGTACAAAACTATAAAGATTTTCTCTATCTGCAGTCTCATTAAAAATACCATTTTGTACTGACAGCTTTCTGTAATCTCTGCAGTCCCAGAAGATGTTTTTCATAGAAGCTTTCCTTTACCAAGCAGCCTTTGCTTCCTATCAGCTGTCAGAGAATGACTAAGACCCTTTTGTAAAACAGACATGCTCAATTTTAAACAAACTCACAGCTCAGCAATGCAAGACAACACACTTACTGTTTCTGAGGAGAGAAATTATTTTAAATTGGCTTCTTTGTTTTTTCTTAGACTCAACTGCTGCTGGCTGAAACATGCTATACCAGAAATGCTAATAGTCACTCTAATTTAAAGATACAAAGTTATGTTTTGATGTTGCAACTATAAACGTAACACTTTTTTTTTTTGTAGGTTTTTTTATTTAATGAATCCTAAAGCCAGCTCTGCTCACAATCTGTTCGAGGCCATGTTGTATGAGTGCACAAACACTGTGACTAACATGATATTACTATGATATGTTCTGGAGAGCTGCTGCGAGTTTTGTGCCTTGCTTTTTTGCAAATGTGTCCTTCCAGGGGGCTAGATCAGCACCGGTCCCTCAACACAGCTTGTTCTTTAAGTATGTTGCTGAGCCACACAGCCAAGGTGAGGGCCAGCATCATTAGGTATGCTGGTATCCTGTCTGCGCAGTGTCTGGTGGTGTATCAGCAGCTGCTGTTTAAAAGGAAGAAATGCCTTGGAGCTCTTCCTATAGCACTGGAAAATTGGCAGCTTTTTCTTCATTTTGCTAAGCCTGAATGTAGAACAAGGGATGTGGCGCGTCCAGAAATCTGACTTGGCCCTCAGCTGCAAAAATAATTCCTCTGTTCTGTACCACTACAAACTGACAGGTAAAAGCAGATGTCACTTCCTACCAGAAAGCTTTGCAGGACAGTTGAAAAAACACTTTAGCACAGACTCAAGTGAGTTTACTCACACACATACTGTCCACGTTCAACTTAGATATGGCTAAGAAGGACTGTTGGTGCAGTTTCCAAGCCTGTAAACTGTGATGCACAGTTGCAGCCGTTGCAGTATTGTTTTGTTGGGGTTTTTTTCTCAGTGGAGTAAATATAGTACTCAAGATGATAATGTTCTGTTCAGGCACAGAAAAATGAGTTGTTCAACTATTCTACATGTTATTGGCACTTCTGTGGATAAATATTGAGGATAGAAACGTCATTCAAATGAGCTATAGAACAGTCAATACAAAAGTGTATGCAAGAAGGGCACCAGCTTGATTTAACATTGAAGTATCTAGTCAAAAATGAAGCACACAATGACCTAATTCACGTAAGGAAAAAAAACAGTTAAAAAAAAAAAATCTGAAGGGACAAACAAGCCTTTGACAGCTGACTTCAGCCTGGAATGATCTTCCTCCTCATTCAGTTATATGAGATGTTTTCAAGCATGGCCCATCCAACTTTTTGCCAGTTGTGTCTATAAGCTGTATGGTTAATCAGCTGCCAGCACGCTATTTTCAAGAGGGAAAATTATGGATTGTGTGTAGAAACTAGGGCACATACAGTGTGTTTCTTTTCAAATAAATAACAACCACTTCATCAGTAATTCATACAATCAGTAGGTCTGTAACAGGGCACCTCTGTTCAGCATGCCAGAGATGCTTCATGGAAATAAGAACAATTCCAAGACTGACAGGTCAGTACTTCACCACTATTACCTATACA